AAAGACTTTTGAACTCCTCCAGACTGAACCGACACTCTGATCATTTCTTCTGCTGCTGCTTCCATGAGAGCATCAATAAATATCAATAAACTCAAAAATATAATTTAATGGGTTGCTGTGGTGGTGCAGGGGCAAAGCACAGCCCATGTATTGAGGCTGAAGGCCACTAGAGCCAACAAAACCTTTAAAAAACTTTGATGCGATCGGTTTAATGCTAAATGTATCAGACGTCCTGCAGAAGCTCGTTTCAACCCGGCTGTTTGTTTTTATCATCATGAACAAACCCAACAGGTCTGAGTCTGACGGATGAATCCAGGCTGAGGGAGCTGAAGCTAGCTGCGCTAACCCAGCAGGAATCAGCGCTCAGGCTTCCTTCACATTCACGACTCATCAGTAATCTGATCCAAACGACAAAAAAAGACAACGATGGAGATACCAGAGATTTATAATAATAACTGATCATAACCTCCACAGTTTAATAAATTACCGGTTAATGAATCATTAGGCTGCAGCTCTAAAGGAATCAGTCAGACTGAATCAGTTCCAGGTTCTAGTTCAGTAGAAACATGATAATTAAAGCCGGACATGTTGGAGATCTGCAGCTGAGACGGCTAGTTCATGCTAGCGCCTTATGCTAGCGCCTTATGCTAGTTCATGTTAGTTCAATTTGCTAGTTCATGCTAATCCTCCCATCTGTCCACCCGTCTCCTCTGTCTGATTTCACATTAAACAGGGAAGGCTGAGAGGAGGAGGTCTGGAGGAGGTGCAGCTCTTCCTCCTCTTGTGAGGAGCTGAGCATCAGGAGCGTCAGCGGGGCCGGGGTTAGGTATCACATACCGGGGGCCCCGGATCCCAAATCAGCCTCGTCTAGACTCTCTGGCACCTGCGTCTGCTCATTTACCGCAGACGGCCACCGGGGGCCGCCGGGGCCCGCAGCCTGCTCCGCCTCGCTGCTGCTCCTGGACGGTGACCCCATTGAAGGGTGGGGGGGTCAGATCAGTGGCGGAGCCTCGTGGAGGAAAGGTGGGAACAGAAAAGCTTATTACTGATGTTTTCACACCCGGACGGATCTGCTGAGTCAGCAGAGACTTTCTGGAACTAAAGTCAACAATCAGGCAGGATGCATGTTTACAGTGCTTTGAAAAGTATTCATGACCTTTGAACCTCAATGTTTGTTTCACATTACAAACACAAACAGAAGGAAAAGTGTGTCCTTCCTCCTTTCTCTCCTTCCAGCAGGACATCCAGTCAAAGACATGATGGACTGGGTTAGAATGGCCTAGTCAAAGTCCAGACCTTAATTAGGGGCGGTATGGACTCAGACGTTTTATCATAATATTTGGTGGTAATGTTGTTATAATAAAAGTTTAGGAAACTGTATGACTGTGTGTCACAGTGATTATAGCCCCACAATCACAAACGTCGCACTTGAAAAACGTTCCCATCCGTAACGCGTCTTCAGGACCAGTCAGCTTCAACATGACTGCATTTCCAAATTTATTGGTATTTTATTGATGCTTTTATTAAACTCTGGTGAAAAAAGAAAACTATGAATCCTGACAGTAAGGACAATTAAAGGGTACTTTAAATATTAATTGAAAATTAACAAAGAAACGATAAATCAAAATACTTAGAAGAAATTTAAATGATACGATAAACGTCCACCCTTCACCTGAATCCCACTGAGAATCTGTAGAAATGGATGAAACTGATGTTTTCAGATGTTTGGCTGGAGCAGAGCCTTCAGGAGCCGACAGAGCAGACGGAGGAAAACATCTGCAGAAAACCGATTCAGGAAGCCGAACGCTCCTCCGAGCTTCACTTCCCACGTCAGTAAAAACTTCACATTAAACCTGTCATATCGTCATCACTACCAGATAAACCACCTCCATGTTTCCTTCATGTCACGTTACTCACAGCTCAGATTCTGAAGGCATGAAAGAAAATCACGTAAAATTAAAAAGTTCAGGTCATAAAACTGAATGAAGACAAACCTTGTTAACGTATTAACCCATGACGCCTGAGCCTCAATCAGCTGCTAACGTCCTACAATCTGATCTGTTTTAGTCACGTTTCCTTTTCCGTTGGGCTGCAAACGACCCACAGAAATACAATAATCACATCTTTATGTTCTGTCCTCTCTTCAGGATAATGTGCTCATCTTTATTTATGCTGAGTTTCCCCAAAGACTGAAATGAATATTTCTATCTGTCTGATTTTACGCTCTGCTTCCTCTTCAAACTAAAACTAAAAGTCTGAGGATCTCTGCTGTGGATGTGAGAAAAAACATTCATCTCTTTCATTTAGTCCAAGTCTCTCAGCAGGATCAGTGAGAGCGAGGGAGGGGGGGCCGAGGTCAGAGGTCACATCCTGGTCACGCTGCCGAGGTTCTGATCTGCTGCCGACTCGACCTTCTGAACAAACAGCAAAGCCTCACATCCACATCTGGACAGCATTTACACCCAATCCCAGCAAGCTAACGCCGCGCGGCGCCGGCCAATCGGCTGACAGGAGAGGAGCCGGCGACCGGGTCGGCCGGCGACCGGGTCGGCCGGGTCAGGAGGGAGCGCCCGCAGCGCAGCGCGGCGCCCAGATCGCAGCAGCTAACGCTCCAAACGCTGCGAGCAAATGAGCCTGAGGGGGAAACTTTGTTTTCCCACAGAGGGAATCTGATTCTGGACTGATCTGGATCAGAACCGCAGACAGAACCTGGACAAATGTTCCTTCTCTCTGAGCAGGGAGCCGTTTGAAAACATCACCATAATATCTTAGGCTATAAGGGGGAAAAGGGATGGATTTTTAAAAGTCAAACTTATTAATGCATTTATAAATGTCATAGCTTAAAAATAAATACTTAATAAGCAACATAGTGATTAATTTTACAAATTAAATTAAATCTTATTTAGCAAAGTAAATATTTAGCATGACTAGATATCCAGCTCGAAACTAAATATTTAGCTTTATACCAAATAAAATCAGTTTTGCTAACAAAACATGTAATTTGTAAAATAAATAACTATTTTGCTAATTAAGTATTTAGTTTTAAACTGACGTTTGATGCTAATTATCTAGCTGGTTAAGTAAATATTTATTTAGCTTCAAACTAACTACTTAGCAAGTTAAGTAATTAGCTTGCTAACTAATTAGTTACCTAATTAGCAACTAATTAGTTAACTATTTCATTAGCAAGCTAGGTATTTAGCTTGCTAACTAAATATTTGGTGAGCTTCAAATTAAAGAGTGAGCTAAATTTCTAGTTTGAAGCTAGCTAAATCTTTGGCCAAACTAAATATTTAATGAGCAAGCTAACTAGTAAGCTAAATATTCAGCTGTAAATATTAGGTCAGAGCTAAATATTAATGCTAATTTGTCAATTTGTTTTTGGAGTGGACTATCAAAATAAAAGCTGGGTTTTGCACGCTGCTATATAAACTGCGGCTCTTTGTTGCTGGTGCACCACTGTGTCTGCAGATTCATTGGAAATCATTTATATTCCCCTTAAAATGGCTAATCCTAAGTTTAAAGCTGATATGTCAAACATGTCAAGAGGAAAATGGACCCAGAACCTGAACCGGTGTCAGGCTGGGTTCCCTCCCATCGTGTCTAACTGCGGGCGCCTCGGTCTGCGGGCGCCTCGACGTTAGCCAGCCTTACCTGCGGTATGCAGTCGGTGTGAGCAAACATGGGCTTGAATCTGTCGTCCATGCTGATGTGGTACAGGACGCACATGGCCAGCTGCCTCTGCGCCTCGTCAGCTGCAACACAAACACAGGCAGGAGGCGGGTCAGCCATGAATGACCGCTTGTCCCGCAACGCGCCGCAGGACGCCGCCGACCACATCCAGGAGGGGCCCACTGTTCCTGGACAAATATTAACGGCCTGAATGAACTGTTTAACAGCCGGGGGTCGGAGGTCAACCGCAGGCGGCTGCAGCTTCTCACGGCTCAGCAGCCGAAAGTAAAGAACAGAAAACTACAGTCGGCTCAAAACAAACAGGTTTTTACACTTTGGGCTTCTTTCATCTTTACGTTGGTCCTAAAGGTCTGCAGTTTGCTGCAGTTTGTTGCTGTTTGCTGCAGTTTGTTGCTGTTTGCTGCAGTTTGCTGCTGTTTGCTGCAGTTTGTTGCCGTTTGCTGCACTTTGTTGCCGTTTGCTGCTGTTTGCTGCAGTTTGTTGCCGTTTGCTGCAGTTTGTTGCCGTTTGCTGCAGTTTGTTGTTGTTTGCTGCTGTTTGCTGCAGTTTGTTGCGGTTTGCTGTTGTTTGCTGCAGTTTGTTGCTGTTTTCTTCATGAATTTTCAAAGGTAAATCTGATTCAGTGTTACTATTCCAACTTGCTCCAAGTGTCTGACAGATGCAGGTAAATAATAAAATGAACATCAATTTAACAAGTAAATGTAGAAGAATAGAAGCAGCGTTTATTGTCCTGCAAACGGAAAATTCAGGTGCAACAGCAGAATCTTTAACTAAAAGTTAAAAACAGAATATAAAAAACAAGACTAACAATGATAGTAGTAATAACAATAATAACAGTAGTAATAATAATATGCAAGACTGAAATGTAAAAATACCATGAATTTATTCCAAAACACAATGGGGCTCACGATGCCAGACTGTTTGTGTATTGAACATATTTACAGGCAGAGAATTAAACCTGAGGGTCTAAAACAGAGACGTCGTTTTCCATAAACTGATTTTATTTAATGTTTAAAACCTTTGAGGATTTTCCTGGGGTTGTTGGGGAGGTTATAAATTCCTGCTGAATGTTTATCTGACAGTATTTTATCCAGTTGGTGCCTGATTATTGATTATTGATCATTAGATTTGCAGAATCTTTAATGTTTAAAGCTCAGCTGCAGGGAGGCAGACAGAGACCGGACCGGACTGGACCGGACCAGCAGAGAACCCGGCAGCTTTATGGGTTTGACCCGGAGAATTAACGGGCCTCAGAGTGCAGTCTGATGTGTTAAGAGAGCGGTTTATCACCGAACCAGAACCAGCGCCCTGCCATGCCCCGCCCACCGGCCTGACCCGGTTTAAACCGGTCCCTGTCCGTACGGCGGGTCAGAATCAGAACCAGATGGGGCCCAGGGAGAGAAGGTGAGTTCTGCTGTCACTTTAATTGGGAAACCAGGAGGAAGCATCAATTTTACTGCCTTTAATAAGTTTCAGTCTCAGTTTTCAGAACATCTGCTTCTCATTAGCCAGAACCAGAACCAGAACACACATTAAGGTGTTTTCCTCCTGATGGTCCACTGTTCTGGTTCTGGTTCTACTGGAACCAGAACTTCTGCTCCACCTCCAGCTGCTGTGGCTCTGAGTCCAACCAACCTGTTCCCCTCCTGGCCTGTGGGGGCGCTGCACCAAGAACCACTGAAGGAAACATAAAAACCTCTGAAGACACTGAGAGCAACTTCCTTCTTCACCAGATGGAAACAAGATGGAGGCGACAGATTTTAGCGGTTGGAGGATTTCTCTTTAGGCTAAAGACCAGGAGCCATTTCTGCTGCTAGCGCTAGGCTAGCACGTTAGCTTTGGTTGGATTTACCCATAATGCCCTGCGCTGTAGTCCACTTCCTGCTTTTGGAGCGGTCTCCGGTCCGCTTGGCGTTCACATTCAAACCGAACCCAGACGAGGTTTTGAGGACCAGAGGTCAGAGGTCGCTTAGCGTTCACACCTCATTAACTGGACCAGAGTTTATAGACAGACAGACTGGAGTGAACTGGGCTGGTGTGAATGGAGCCTAAACTGACGGGACGGTTTACTGGTTTAAAGTTATTCCCAGGAAGAAGACATCCCATCATCAGTCTTCCCACTTTTACAAATGAAGACGATTAATTCCTGATTTTATTGGACTGAAACCGATTAAAGGTCAAGTTTTATTGCACTTCAGTCCAAATTTATATTGATTATATTATGTAGAATTAAGAAATAACTACAAATTCTATTATTTATTGTTGTAATAGTAAGTTTAACTGTCAGGATTTCAGAATCTATGCCATCTATATCTACGTCTACCTGTAGGGATCTGCTGTCTGCGGATCTTTGGACTTTCCACAGAATCTTTAAAACCAACAGATGTTTTGAAATATAGATATAAAAATAATAAATGCAGCTTTGGCCAGTTTTATTTCCTGTAATATTTAGTTTCTTTGGAATAATTTTATATCAGCATCCTGCAGAGAAAAATTTAATTTTATAGTAAAAATGTTCATATTTCTCTTGATTATAAAACCTAAAATCATTATGATTCTCTAAAACTGGCAGATTTCTAAGATATTTTTATAAAAATTATGTTTGCATTTTTAAAGGGTCACATCGACATTCCTCCACATCGCAGCTCTGATTGGCTCATTTTCATCGCTATGTTTCACTCCCTGCTGTCTGACTTGATGGGAGCCAGTTCTGCTGTCTGTGGCTGAAGGGAGAGAAGCTGCCACCGGTGCAGAGCTTGCTCAGCAGCGGCAGCAGACGGGTCGGACATTGGTCCAGAGTCACCCAGGGCGGGAAAAATCCAGCAGGAGGAATCAGCACTGGAGCTCAGGTCTTCCTTCAGGTCGGCGGCGGTTTGGACCAGACGGGAGGGGATCTGATCTCCAGGGGTCACGACCTCTCGTCAGGTCTGGACACAAAGGCTCTCCTCTCCTTACAGGAGCAGCGGGGCCTTCACGCCGCGCGGCGGATGAAAGGCGGGAAGCCGGCGGATGATTGATGGCGCCGGCGTCGGCGTGCGGAGCCCAGCGGACTCTCGCTGATTCAGGCCGACCCAACAGTGTCACAACTGTGAGGCGGCGCGATATTTCAGGGAACTTCCTGCCCCCCGAACCTCTGAAGACTCCTTTGCTTCTCCGACTCGCTGCTACAAAAACAAGCTGAGCGCCGAGGTTCTGCCATGTTATTCTAACAAATATATTCTGTTAATTATGTTCTGCTATCGGATCCGCCCCCGGAGACGCTTCAGAGCCTCCGCCCAGCCGAGATGCCCGTAACCACGGAAACCGCTTACCCAGCAGAGAGGAGAGCCTGGGAACGAGGCCGGCCTGGACCATCTGGCCGCGCAGCGCCGCGTCGAAGGACAGGTTGAGCAGCAGCCGACAGGTGGCGCTCTGGAGCTCCAGGTGGTCGCAGGGCAGCAGGCGGGCCAGCTTCTCCACGGCGGCCGCCTCCGCCTGGGGGGGACAGGGACCGGCGGTCAGAACACGGCCGGATCCGGCCCGATCAACTAGGACCAAAAACAGCAGAAACGGGCTGGGAGGAGCTCAGCTCTGCAACACCAGGAGGGCAAAGGAACGGCTCCACAGAGAGGAGGAGGAGGAGGACGAAGGTCAGGGCCCTGGGCCTAAAGTTTACATACCTGGAGGGGGGGGAGGGAGAGGGGAAGGGGGAGGAGGGGGGAGGAGGAGGAGGGGGGAGGAGAAAAAGAACCGCAGAGACACACAGAGGCTTCCTGTTTAGAACCAGAGCCAGAACAGGAACAGGAGCCGGAACCAGAACCAGAACCAGAACCCGGTTGCTACCCAGTGTTAGAACCTGGGCTGTTCCTCCCGTCCTGCAGGTGGAAATGTTGAGCTGATGAACGCCTCGGCTCAGAAGTGGACCCGGGTTCTGAACGGATCAGAGCGGAGCCACCAGTTCAGAAGTTGCTCTGACCCGACCTGCTCCCAGTTAAACCAGTTGCTGCTACCGTGTGGGAAACCAGCAGAGCAGCTTAATCAGCTGCAGCCTGGATCAATTACAGCCGGAGTTCTGCTTCCATCAGCAGCGACCCGGGTCCAGTCGCTGAGCAGAACCACCGGGTCAGACACCCGACCCGTTTACCAACCAGAACCTTCCTGCTGGACATTTACTCTGAATCAAAGATGCAGATTAAATCGGGTCCAAATGGGTCTGGTTCTGATAAAAACCCACCGGCTGATCAGAACCAGGTGGATTCTGGGAAAGATCCACATTCACTGCAGAAGGTGACAGAAATTACTTCAACAGCCAATCAGGTGAAGCTTTCACAGCAGGTCTGTGTTCTGATTGGCCGGTTCACGTCTGGCTGCGAGAGAAACGAGGAAGAACTGAAGCCCAGGAAGGGAATCGAACGGCGATTTAACGAAACCCTGAGAAAGGATGAGGGAGCTGACCCTGATGAAGGCCTGGACCCGTCTGACGGCACGAAGTAGGCCTCAGAAAGCCACATGTCTGATCCAAACAGCACAGAGAAACTCAGGAAGAAAGAAAGAAAGAAGCACAAGACAAAAAGATAGAAAAAGGAAGACAAAAAAGAAAAAAAACAAACAGACCAAAAGAAAGGGACAAAAAACGAAAGGAAGAAAACGCAGAAAGGCACAAAAATGAAAAAAAGAGACAAAGAAACAGACAGTTATGGAGTGTCCTAGTCAAAGTCTGAGTAGTTTGACTCTAAACAGTTGATCCTGCAGGGAAAATCTCGAGTGTGTCTGAATTGAACTGATTCTGTGAATCAAAGCTCCTCCATAATTAATCTGAACTTATTGACGTCGTTTTTTAATTTGGTGTAAACATAAAATATTACAAACTTTAACCAACATGCTGTAAGCTGTCAGTCACTTTTACAACGTTGTTTAATGTTCCACAGAAATGCGTTCAGGTCCTACAGATGTTTTCTAGAGACTACATCTGAAATAAACACAACAACAACAGAAGAAGAAGAAGGGAAACCCTCCGTCTCTCCATGTGGTTGTTTTTCCTTCTCTCTTTGTCACCATGTTGTTCTGTTTTGTAGATTTCTATGTTTCTGTTACCATGTCGTTCTTGTTCTCCAGGAAGATGGAGAGCTTCTTGAGGAAGGACACGGCCACCAGCAGCAGCTCCTGGTCGTCGCGCTCCAGCAGCTTCACCAGCATCTGGACGATGTTTTTGTTCCTCATCTTCAGCTCCGTCCGCGCGTCCTCAGCCAGATTCAGCAGCAGATACAGAGACACTGCAGAGACCAGGAGCAGACAGAGGTTCACCTGGCTGGGCGGGGTCACAGCTGGAGGTCACAGCTGGAGGTCACAGCTGGAGGCCTGGAGGTTTGGACCTTTGAGCAGCTGCTCCTGCTTGGCCAGCAGACTCTGGTACTTCCTCAGCGACTTGTCGTGATCCTTCCTCAGACTCTGGTTGTCGGGGAACTCGTCAGGTGAATCTCGTTAAGGAGCTCAGACCTGCGGCGGAACGTTAATCAGCTGCGCGGCTGCAGGGCGGGCCTAAAGGATATCGGCCTTCTTCTTCTTCTGCAGCTCGTCCTGCCACAATTCGAAGCGCTTCAGCTCGTGCTCCACGATGTTCATGCAGAGGGCGCCGATCTTGAAGTGGGTCACCAGGCTGTGGAACTGGGAGAAGCTGGGAAGACAGGAGAGGCAACCAGGAATCTAAACCTGGAAGCTGCAGTGAAACCACAAGTTTACATACACTAGATACGTTATCTCACCAAGTGAAATCAGACCAAACTTCTCCTGTTTCAGGTCGGACAGAATTACTAAAATTATTCATATCTGACAGCAGCGCCACGTTTTCCTGCGTTTACCTGGAGAAACAGAAGAAGACGGAAACGATGGTGGTTGCCAGGTCAACGCTCTGCTTCCAGTCCTCTCTCAGCACTCTGGCCAGCGCTCCCAGTACCACCTCTGAAACACAGAGACTGCGTCAGCGTTACCGCGCTGCGCCAGCGTTACCGCGCTGCGCCAGCGTTACACCGCGCTGCGCCAGCGTTACACCGCGCTGCGTCACCGTTACACCGCTGCGTCACCGTTACACCGCGCTGCGTCACCGTTACACCGCGCTGCGCCAGCGTTACACCGCGCTGCGCCAGCGTTACACCGCGCTGCGTCACCGTTACACCGCTGCGTCAGCGTTACACCGCGGCGTCAGCGTTACACCGCTGCGTCAGCGTTACACCGCTGCGTCACCGTTACACCGCGCTGCGTCAGCGTTACACCGCGCTGCGTCACCGTTACCATGCTGCATCAGCTCCTCCAGGTTGTCCGGGTTACGGGCCAGCTGGAAGATGAGTGCGGCGCCACGGATCTTCTCCTGAATGTCTTCGTACAGCAGCTCCACGTACTCGTCGATGCTGCCGATGCTCGCCTCCTCGTCCAGCTGCAGCAGAGGGGAACAGGTTGACCCGGTTGACCCGGACGCTGCAGAGGAACGGCGGCGGTCACACCGTCGGCTCCTACCTCCACTCCGGCGTACGGCGTGAAGTCCCGAGGCGAGATGTTCTTCTTCTCCTGGTTGTCTGTGGAAAGATGGATCAGCTGAGAGCGGGATCCAGACACAGCGAGCAGGAAGTGAGGCGGGTTTGGTACCGCTGCTCTGTTTCCGGTTCTGCAGGTAGAAGAGCAGCTGCTCCACCTCGGCCAGCTTGGACGGATGGATCAGGTGACATTCCTCCACCACCTTCTGGGCCAGAGAAGCCGTGTCCGTGTTGGCGTTCAGGCTCTTCAGACGGATCCTGGAACCGACGCTCGACTTATTAAAGCTATTAAAACTAGAGATGAGATAATAATATCTGTATCATCCTGATATTTTCGGTTAAATGCTGATCTATTCAGTCTCATTCTATACCTGCTGCAACATCATTCTGTATTATTTATTCTAAGTTATTTTCAGAATTTTGAGCCATTAGAAAGAAGGATTGTTGTTACTGTTTATTTTTACATGTCTGACTAAACCTGCTGTTTCTGTCGGTTTCAGTTTCTTTATTATTTCTTTTACTTTGGCTGATCTGCTCCTAATTTCACTGACTGAACAAATTAAAGTTGTTTGACCAGCTGGTGAAGCTGCTGGTGTGTTTCGGTGAGCCGTACTGGTGCAGAGTTATCAGATAAATGTGTAATTCAGTATATTTAAGTTTCAGTTAGAAAAAATAAGTTTAAGTAAATTCATCTGTTCTTCTGTAACAGATCGGCCGATACTAAACCTCAGATATCAGCATCAGAAGTGAACTACGTGGATCGGTTCATCCCAAGTTAAAATTGAATCATTTCAGTTCAACACTTTAATTTCCTCACATCTTCTGACAGTCTTTGCGCTCTTCCACCATCGGTTCTCCCAGTTCTCCCAGTATGGTCGCCTCCACCTCATACTGGACCACCAGAGCCTTCTCAGTGGGGTGAACGTCCAGAGAGCATCCCTTCACCCTCCTGTAGGCCAAGAAACAGGAAGTGGAGAAAATAAAATCCAGTACTTCTCAGATTTTAACCCCAAAAATATCTATTATTTTACCTTTATAGAAATATTATGCACCAACATCACCGTTCATTTAAATGAATGCCAATATTCAGCAAATACTCATGGGTTTTATGAAATGTTTCATCCCCAATTCATTGATTTTATCAATGAATTTATGCAAAAATTAGATATTTTTTATTTATAAATATATAAATATTTAAGTATTTAATATTTAAATATTTAAATATATTAATATTTATTTATATATAAAATAAATATTTAAATATTTATTTTAATATATAAATATTTAAAATTTTTTATATTATATAAATATTTTTTATAAGACTTAAAGAAAAGTAATTTACAAATCACCTTTGTAAATTATTGTTGTTATTATTATTAATAATAATAATAATATTATTATTAATAATAATAATATTATAATAATAATAATATTAATAATTAATTAATTATTAATTATATTATTATAATATTATAATTAATTAATTATT